ACTTCCCAACCCAACTCCATAATCCTGTGTTGCATCAAACGTGCCACATGTGAACGTGCATTATCGTGGAGAAGAAGAACACCTTTCCGATTGACAGGTGAAAGGCTTGATTTAAATGTTCCAGTTGCTGACTATAGATCTATGCATTGACAGTTTGCTTTGGATTGAGGAGTTTGAAACAAATTACTCCTTTGATATCCCACCAAATGCATAGCATCATTTTCTGCAGATGGAGTCCAGGTTTTGGGGTCAGAAGTGGTTTTTTTTCTTGGACTGAGCCATTGTTTTTGGTGTTTAATATTTGCATGGAGAATCCATTTTTTATCACCTGTGACAATTCTCTCCAAAAATGGTTCATGCTCATTAAGAGACGAAGCAACGTTCAACGTTGATCTTCGGAGAGTTAGTGAGGCACACAAACACCTTCTTTAATGGAGTTTTCCCATATTCCTTAGATGTTTACGTATTGTTTCTTGAGATACATACAATTTCAGAGCCATTTCACGAGTGTGTGGCTTTGGGTTAGACTCAATAAGCATCTTCAGAGCATCAATATCAATTCCAACACATTGGCTCCTGCTATCACAGTTTTTAAGGCTAAAGTCACCTGAACGAAATTTGCTGAACCATCGTTGACACTTATGAATGTTCAAACATTTCCATAAACTTCTCTGATATTCTTTATGGCTACAGAGGCATTGTTTCCCTTCTTGTATTCAAACAGCAATAGGTGCCAAATGTGTGTCTTGTCGTGTGCCATCACAATAAGGGATTAGAGTATACTAAACTTTACCCATTATATAAGCTACACTAACGTGATGTTTAAGAGGTTCATTTAACTATTATACGTGATGTGCATTTTTTGGGGGGTGGTTAATGAAAGTGTTCCAAAATGTGACATTAATTTCTTGATGACCTAATAGATTTTACTAAAATAAAATATCCCTTACTGTAGTATTAGTAGCCTGTTGATTAAATCTGTAACAGAGAAAATTTGTAGCTACTATTGAAGTTGCTACATCATCATTTCACATGTATTTGTCCCAAAATGTTTTGTAATGGACAAAAACCTGATAGAATATTTAGCAAATCTTAAAAATACTTTACTACCTTCAAGTTAAGATAGCCTGGTGGTTAGGACACTTCATTCTCAATCTGAGTGTTGTAGGTTCAAATACTGTGACTGAAGGCACTCACTCTTTCAGCCACAGGAGTTTTATTAATGTGATGGTCAGTCCCACTATTCATTAGTAAAGAGTAGCTCAAGAGTTGAGAGTGGATAGTGTTGACTAGCTGCATTCCCTCTACTCTATTACTTCAAAATTAGGAACAGCTAATGCCTGTTGTCGTAAAGTGGTTTTGTAGAAAATTTAAAACAAATAAATCAATATAAGATAACTAAAAGAATTTCATATATATTTATCTGATTAAGGACCAAAGAACTATCTGTAATGATACTGTCGTTTTATAAGTTGTGGTTCTTAAATGTGACTGAATTCTGACAATAACACAAATTGACTCAGTTAGTTAAGGTTAATGTAACAACTACCCGAAGAAAGAGACCTTTTGACATGCAAGATAAATATTTTGTCGTTTTTTCAGGTATGCATGATCTTTGAGGAAAGAAATGAAGTTGACAACTCTGTTTTTTTTTCAATTCAATTTAATTTATTAAAAAATAAATATAGTACACTTGATATGAAATAGATAATAAAAGTGTAGGATCTCATAGGACAGAAGATCCACATGATTGCTCAAGTGTGGATCATAAATAAATATATTATTAAACAATAAATACATTAACTAAATTAATATTTCATTCATTGTTTTATTTAATTTACACCACTTTTAACATGTAATATTTTTATTACATATTCTTCAAATTATATATAATCCTACAATATATATATGTATGTTATAATTTATTTATTTTTAATTTTATGTATAGACTATAAATAGATTTTCTGGTTCCTCTGTGAGTCATACATTTCTTTAATTCTGACTTAATATTTATTATTAAAAAGTGATCTTATTTCATTTGGAATATTATTATAAAATGTGTATGCAGTTTTATGTTGTTATTATGCTAAAGGTCTTAAAAACTTCATCCAGTTAATAGCCACAACTTGTGATTGAAACAGAATATAGGCAGAAAATGAATGAGTGACTAAATGTTTTGAAGGAACAAATTTGATTTGAGAATCATTATCTTTAAATAGTTTAGTAGGGATATCTTGTGTTATTAAGAAAGATATTAGGTACGGCAAAAAAGATGAAGAGAACCCATACAGTAAAAATTAATATCAAGATGATGTTTTTATTACACCTACAGAAATTATGGCAAACTGTCTTGTCCAAACAAGGATCTTACACTAATCGCTGGAATCCTAGAATTGCAAAGATGAAACATATAGCTTAATGTTTGTATTATTAATTAATAAATTTAGTTAATGAAGAAGTATATCTGTGTCTTAAGCTTTCAGATGTACAAGATTCTTCTCATTTGAGTCTGCATGGGAGCAGTGAAATATTTTTCTGGCAACATACCCAAATCTTTTATGTTAAAAGACCAGATTTTTAGATAAAAAAAAGTACAGTGTGTTAAGAAATGTGTTCACAATATACCTTTTTCTTAGGGTATTATTGTCCCAGAAGAAGCTATAGAACTACCCATACAACCAATTTCAGGACCTGATATGGACAAGGAAGATAAGGAGTTCGCTGTTTTTATCACTGTAGGCTTTTCTTCCCTTTATTCTTTAAGAATATAGTTTTAGTACTGCATATAATTCTTGTATGTTGTTTTATTTTTTTATCATATTCAACTTTCTACTTGAAAATACGATATTTTATATATGGTTCACTTCTAATGTTTAATGTTTTAAAATGTTTAGATACACCATTTTCTGATGTTGAATAGTTCATTCTTAAAGAAAAAAGAGAATGAATATCTAATAGTAATTGCATATAATTTCCTTACATACAAAATGTGACAAAAATTTCGGAAGGACTAATAGATATAATCAGTTGATCATATCCTGGCCATTGGTAACAGTCTGTTTATAAACTCGTAGAAATATTAACTTAAAATTTAATTTTCACCATTATTTATTTGACCTAATAGATCAATAAAACCGAAAGAGTCCCAGTACGGTGCAAGATTCATCACTGGAGCCCTAACTATCTGGAGAGGAATGATGTTGGGGAGTATTGGAAGCCATCAGAACCAATCTTACCTGAACAGGCCACTTTACTGAGTGAGATGCCAAGATTTGATAAATCAAAAGACTCCACTTAGTGTTATAAGTACAGAAGTACTTTTTTTTTTGTGAGTTTATTTAATATGCTTTAGAGTTAATAAATATAAGGTTATGATGTCACTTTTTTGTTGTTTGATATTTATTCCATTTTTAAGAACATTGTATTTTGTGTGAATTGTTTAAAAAGATATACTTAAAATGTGTGGCATAAATTAGTAAGTAAAATTTATACTATTATTTTTGTAAACTGATAAAAAAAAATATTTAAGATAAAAATGGGATACTTACAAAATTATGATGAAATTTTTAAATGTTTACAAAGGGATAATCTCTTCCAAAATTCCTTTTTTTTTCCCTCAAGTATACCTAAAAAATCCAGAATTTTTCTTATTTCCCTTAATTATGCTCACCACATAAGAAATCGAACAAAGCAAGGTCTATTATTTTATTTTCTTGACAAACTGCATTTTTAATATACTATTTTGAAAACTTGTTTATAGCAGATGCTGCAAACAAAATATATTTTTAGAAGTTATTGACAAATGCCCCTTCTCATCCCCCACCCCAAATAGCTCAGTGTTAAGTCTAAGTTAACTGCTCAGTGCACTGAACACTCTAAACAAAACAGAAAAAAATTAGCTTACAGTGCTGGCCCCTACTGGTAAAGTGAATACTTTAAAAATATTACAGTAATTAGTTTTTAAAATTCAGTATAAAATAGTTAGTTAGTTTATGTCTTAAACAATTAGTTAGATAAATCTGCTTTTTATATTTAATCCTCAAGAACTTGTTTGTTGTTAAGTGCAAAGCTACACAATGGTTTGTCTGTGTTGTAACCATCTCAGGTACTAAAACCCGATTTTTAATATCCTAAGCTTTCCAACCTTCCCCAGAACCTCATCATTCATTGTTTAACAGTTTGAGCCAAGTCGGTCCACTTTCTTCAATCTTCCCCAGAACCTCACATTCATTGTTCTACTAAATTTCAAAAGTACTTATTTTCTTAATTACCTCCTCTGACACTCTCCATCCTTTATAAATATGGATAAAAACTGTGTAGGCATAACATTTTAACTACCTTTAAGGTAACCAAACAGGTGAAAGGAAACTATAGAGAACTCTGGAGGTTTAAAACTACTAATCTGTATTAATTTCACATAATGACAGCATGTGTACAGTCATTTAATCATCAACAAACATATTAAAGCTGCATCTCAGAACATCCTGATCTCAATACCTGCTTTTTTCTCAGAACCTCATCATTCATTGTTTAACAGTTTGAGCCAAGTCAGTCCACTTTCTTGTTGAAGAAAGTGGGCTGACTTGGCTCAAACTGATAAACAATGAATGATGAGGTTCTGGGGAAGGTTGAAGAAAGTGGGCTGACTTGGCTCAAACTGATAAACAATGAATGATGAGGTTCTGGGAAATATTGAAGAAAGTGGACTGACTGATAAATGTTGGTGATTGATGAAAGTTACAGCCGCTCAAGGGCTGAGTGACTAAAAATTACATTAATGTGGTGTAAAATTGTACAGTTTTTGTCATGAATAAAACAATCTGTAGAACATTATACTGTTACAAAACAAAAGGGTTTTCCATCAACATTAGATTAGTACAGTATTGAAACCAAGACTCAAAATGTAAAGCTGTTATACTGTGCATTTATTGAGTACAGTAACATGAAACTGGAGCAGCTAGAACATGCTCAATAAATGTTTCTAGAATCTATCTACAGGCCTCAGTGGTTTTCTCACGGTAAAGTCCATGCTCTCTTCCAATATCTAGAGATCTTCTGCAAGCCTCTGGAGTTCCGTCACAATGAAGTCCATGTCTTCTTTCGACAAAGAAGGTAGACAGTGGACAATTAACCGGAAAAAGTTCGGAAAAGATTTAGATGATAAAGGCTGATAGGCTATCATCATTGTCCCTTGCTTTGTCATTTTTTCTTTGAGTTTTGGGGCAATCTGAAAAACAGCATCGATATAAAATAATGTTTTAAATGTGGAGTCTCTAAAAAGTACGGAACAAAAACCAATGTTAGCTAACCAAGCTTTATTTTCATTCGGTTTTTAACGTTTTTTTGGTATTCCAAAAAATTATCTGGGAATTAACGAATTTGTGAGATATTTGAAGATATTTTATTCCATCAATCAGAAAAATGCTATTGTTTGACATTTCAAGAGGCCATGTCGAACAAAACGTACTATCTGCAACCAAATTGGGGGTAGTTACGATGAATAATGCATTTAATTTGAATTTTTAGTTAAGCTTTGTTTACCAATGTATGGAAGACAAGTATATAGTAAGTTTTGGTGCAGTTGGTAGTCTGGGTTTTTTGTTTGTTAGAGAAGTATTAGTAATGGATGTTGTGGATAGCCGTTACGTTTTAAAGTATCCTGTATGAGCAAAATTTCAGAGTGTAAATTAAAGTACGTAGAACACAAGTTATAAGCTTTGTTTAATAAACATGTTACCAAATTTCTTTTGGTTTGTGAACGAGATACAAATTGTGTACTATCTGCAGCTGATAAAATAATAAATATATCTTCATGGTGAGAAGGTATACATTGACTCCAAGAACTATTTGGTCATTTAATTTTGAAAACAATATAACACTTATAAGGCATTAGGTTATACGGGGTATGAAACTAAAGGGTACACCAGAATAGTTTCTCACTAAAACACAAACAAATCATGAAATCAAACAAAGGTAATAAATAACGAATTTTTTTCTCACTGGAACGTAAGGCTAATGGGATGTAGTGTTTTGAATGACGGACTGTGAATACGGCGTTTCATGGTTCACATACCGTTTCTAAGAAAAATGCACTTACACTCTGGGAAGTGGTGGGTGTGTTATTAGAGTGACAGTCAAAACCTACTATTCGGCCAGACAAGAGCAAAAGTTCGCAGTAGTAGCTGTTGTCTAGCAGCTTTCCCTCTCTTCTGTCACTAAGTGATTGTTAATAAGTATACAAACAGAAATTACGTTGTACACTAGTCAATCAATAGAAGAAGTGATAAACATGATGGGCCGGAAGTGGCCTAGTAGTTAGAGTGCAGGAATATGAATCTTAGAGTCCATGGTTCGCGTTTGTTACCACAGTATCTCGCTCCACACTTCAGAACTATGGGTGCGTTATGAGAGCGATTATTCAATCCCACTATTCATTTAGAGTAGCCCAAGAGTTGGTGGTGTGTAGTGTTGATTAGCTGCCTTACACAGTACCGGATTAACGCATAAGCCATCTAAGGCCCCGGCCACCCAAGTAAAAAATTATGGTTCGTAAAACTGGCATAATAGTGACAAAAGTGAGTCATTGTTATTATTATTCCCAAATATTACCTAGGCCTAGGACCACATTACACCTTAGTCCGGCCTTGGCCTTACCTGTAGTCTGTCAAGCTAAAATTAGGGATAGCTAGTGTAAGTAAAAGTTAAGCTTTACACAAGTATCCAAAACAGAAATTACGTTGCACACTAAAGATTGTTAATAAGTCGACAAACAGAAATAATATCTATTAGAGAACTCATTCCATAAGGCTTGTCCTATTTTTGATGCACCAGTAGTATATCTGGTGTTAATAGGCGTTTGATATATTTCTGTTTTCCGCTAGGGGTAAATTTTTAATAAGCTTTTAATTTTTGATAAAAAAAAAATTCCATTAGAACAACCTGATAAACCATTAAGAAAATTCTGTAACGTTTAGCTAAAGGAAATTTTCATTAACGTGCTCCTTTTTATTAATAATTAATACAGCTGAGCATTTATTTTACGGTTTTTTTATTTAAATTCCCATTAATTAAATATTTTCGATCAGTTATTTGTGGTTCCTTACCGTTGACAACTGGTCCCAAAAGTCGGGTGTGTGTTCTTTACCCTGCAGACTTGGAGGTACATACCAGAAACAAATATTGGTGAACTGAAACTGACGTAATATAAAACTGATTAACGTACCAGTGAAATCAGGAGAAAAGACTAAGACGAAAAAAATTTTAAATTACGTAAATTGAAAGTGACGTCACGCTGTTTAAGTAATAACAACTATTCCTTATATATCCTTGAAGATAAATCATTAATATTTAAATTTAAAATTTAATTATAGAAATCAGACGTACACAGTATTGTCCAAAATAATTATATTAATTTTGTTAAAATATAGTAAATGCTTCCAAATCTTACTGATATATTCCTCAAACACTTGAATTATTAATAATCCGTAGAATGAGACACGATGACGTATGTTAATTAAACAGCTTTTGGTATTGGTTTCGTTTTATTGTTACGAGTATCACGTGTGTATTTGATAGTTACACTTGTCACGTCTTTCCTTGTTACACTTATCACGTGTCTTTCCTTGTTACACTTATCACGTGTGTCTTTCCTTGTTACACTTATCACGTGTCTTTCATTGATACACTTATCACGCGTGTCTTTAATTGATACCCTTATCACGTGTCTTTCCTTGTTACACTTATCACGTGTGTCTTTCCTTGTTACACTTATCACGCGTGTCTTTAATTGATACACTTATCACGTGTGTCTTTAATTGATACACTTAACACGTGTCTTTGATCGTTACGAGTATCACGTGTGTCTTTGATTATTACACTTATTACGTGTGTTTCTTCAACTCACCTCCGGTAAAACTAGTTTAAAACCTTTGGTGTGTTTTATTTTTTCAAAGAAGTATCTGAAAAACAAGAAGAGAAAATTATAGAAGCCTTTACTTCTACTTCACGTGTCATGACGACAGTTAGTAATTTCTTACATATTGTAAAAGGTACAAAATTTGTTAGACTTAATACTATTTTATTTCTTTTGTTAGATTTCGATTAAAAATATGTTATTTAGCTAACGTAACAGTACTTAATGTTAGGAGCATATCATAAGTAAAGTGTTACTTATAGTAGGAATAGGCCAAATGTTCAATATAAGTTAAAATCTCAAACACGCTGCAAACAGCATGTAAGCAAAACTTTATAAGCACTTTACACACTGTTGAGTAGTAAACAAGCAAGCCAAGTGCAGAGTAACAAGCCTGACTGACTAATGTTGGTGAAAAGGCATAGCTCTCTCCTGCCTTCACCTTATACAAATCTAAATGCACATAACTGAATTACGCTACCTTGGCTAAAAGCGTTTTTCTTAGTTTTACTTATAACTTTGGTGATAACAATAACCGTTTTGCAACGCTACTAATGAGCTAACAATACAGTAGTAGTCATACTCTATGATTATGAGCATGCTCTATGAGTTGTCAAGTAAAAACCCACTCTCATCACGTGCAGGTACATCATTGCTTATGCACACGCTCTACGCATGCTGTATCAGCTAGACATACAAACGTAGACTATATAAATTCTCTAGATCTAGGTTCTAAGTAAAATCTTATGTTGATAACCTTGAAAAGTCTATGTCCCAGCAAAGAGAGCATTACTACAAGAATAGAGATAAGATTAGAAACAGTAATATTAAATATGCCAATCAAGCCTTAGCCATTAATCCAGCCAAAGAAAAGGCTGCCACCCAGGCTAGGTGGAAGAAAAACCATAGCAAAGATATAAGAAAAAGCCAGGAACTGTCAAGAGATACCTCAAAGAAAAACTACGAGAAAGATAGGCCTAGACCTCAGTTACTCTTGAGAGTTAGTACCAAAAAAAAGCTACTAGACAAATGTATGAAATTTTTAAATAAGAAAAATAGGTAGTGGGAATGGGAGCACCAAAAAGTAAAGAAACAAGGTAGGAATGGGCAGTACAGCATTACAACATTTGATGGTTTTTGACAGTGCAACCTCAATGTGGGTGTGGCCATCGTTCTGCCCAATTCTACTTCGTGTTTTACTTTGAACTTTGATACAATTATAGACTTGAATTCAATCTTATCAGTAGCTAATCCTTTCTAAATACTCAAGAAACTTAAAAATTTCAAAAATCAGTGATTTTGAGCTTATCTTTTGGCCCGGCCTTTAGCAGTCATATATCTATAATGTCTCTCATAAGCAAGTACGACTATTGGAACTTCCTGTCTCACTTCCGACATCAAACACCCCATTATGATGTCATGCATTTTCATTGGGGTTACATCATTTGATTACAAACATTTATTTGTATTTGGTTGCTGAAACAAAGTTTACAACAGAGAAATTTAGTCATTTAGTTTAAACAATTACCAAGTTACAAAAAACACGAAGTAGGAGTCGGCGCAACGAGGACTACACCCACTTTGAGGTTGCACCGTGTCAAAAACCACTAAGTGTTTTATTATTATCCCGCCCATTCTTACGTTATTTCCTTCTTTTTGATGCTCTCATTCCTACCTCCTAATTTTTGTATTTAAAATGTTTTAGATATGTTAAACTTGTTTTGACACTAAGATTTCTTTGATGGTTTAAATAACAATTCATACATTAGAAGAACTGGTTTAATAACAATATTTTTTCCTAATCACTTTTAAAACAATATATTCTGCACTTCATTGGCGAGATTTGCGACCAAAATGTGAGGAGGAGGGACAGAAAAAGGAACATGTCGTGTGTATACCATATCCCACAGAAAAAAAAGTGGGGGAGCAATTGCCCCACCCCTTGCCCTCCCCTCGTAATCCCACCTATGCTGTTCTTTATGAACAGGTCTAAAGTCTAGTAAACAAGATTTCTATAGCTTTCTTATCGTGTTGAAAATGATCCAAAGTTCTAAATGAGCAAAATTTTGCTACGATTATGAATTAATTAACAAAAGCAGCGTTGAATGTCTTAATACCCAGGATGCGCTGAATTAATTCTGCTCTAAAGAGTCGAATTTTAAACCTTAACTTTACGATAACGAATGCAACAGTACAATAAAATATACATATGTTAATTTCGCATTTTGATTATTTTTAAAAACAACCATTTTCGAAGGTTACTGTGGTTTGTTGGCAAGATAGCTTGACAATGTCTTACTCGATGCACAAGTAAAGCGTGAAAACTGACGTAAGAGAAACCCACACCAACTTTTATCAACCAGTGACATCAAGAAGATCTCTAGATTGAATTAATCTTAATCATCAGACCACAGAATCATTACAAGTAAACGAATAATCTATTGACAACGTTTATGGTGGGATTTTTCTTTATCGAAATTTCGTAGCTGTGTTACGCTAAAAAGTACTCACATAATTATTATACTTACCGTGCTATGCTATCGTTGTTTAATCAATCTTATTGGTACAGGCTTTCCCGTTAAAATCGCCAATCAAGATGTTTTAACCCTTTTAGAATCCTCCATCAAATCACCCATCAAAACGTTTTAAACATTTTCGAATCCTCCGTCAAATCACCCATCAAAACGTTTTAACCCTTTTCGAATCCTCCGTCAAATCACCCATCAAAGCGTTTTAACCCTTTTAGAATCCTCCGTCAAATCACCCATCAAAACGTTTTAATCCCTTCAGAATCCGTCCTTCGTTAAAATGACCCATCAAGATGTTTTAATCCTTTCATAATCCTCTATTAAAACCACCTATCAAGACGTTTTAATTCCTTCATAATCCTCCATTAAAACCACCCATCAAAACTCTCGAATCCTTTCAGAATCCTACGTTAAAACCACCGATCAAGATGTTTTAATTCCTTCATAATTCTCCATTAAAACCACCCATCAAAACTCTCGAATCCTTTCAGAATCCTACGTTAAAATCACCTACCAAGACGTTTTAATTCCTTCATAATCCTCCATTAAAACCACCCATCAAAACTCTCGAATCCTTTCAGAATCCTACGTTAAAACCACCCATCAAAACTCTCGAATCCTTTCAGAATCCTACGTTAAAACCACCGATCAAGATGTTTTAATCCCTTCCGTTAAACCAATTAGCTTGTCTTGGTTTGGTTTCTTGGAAATGAATTTTATCTATTGTGAATTGTCTTACTGAGCCATGTTGAAAGCGTGGTTTACTAGTTGTTCCATGCCAATCTGACCACGTCCTCTCCACGCCAAATACAACTTCAGAACGTCGACTTTACGACCGCATTGTACACTTTTCTCTCCAGTGTCGTACGCACCGTCGTAATGCTTATCCTCTTGAAACAAATATTCAGCACATGAAGAATTGCACTCGTACAGCATACCCTAATCGACGGATATACATACACTATTAGTTATTTATCTTGTGTCATTCCCTATAACTTTAATAATCTACCAATGTACAATTAGTTAAAGGCTATAACTAATTGTGCATTGGTAGATTATTAAAGTTACGTACGCCTTGCAAGAACAAATCAGTGCTATAAAAAGATTAATAATTAATTATTTATAATTATTAATATTGTTTCTCGGTTCTTTTAGGCATACAATTTTACTTTCATAAAATACTCCTGTAGAAAATTCATAATGATTCAATGTTTAAAAACGTTTCAAAACATTTTATTTTTGTTACGTTTACAATGATACGGACCATTGCCTTATATGTGCGTGGGGGGGGGGGGGGTATAGCTGTGACTGGCACTCTCACTATTCGGTTAAAAGTAAATGACAAGGCAGCAAGTGCTGTTGACTGGTTGCTCTCCTTTCAGTCAACATTTCTAAATTGAAGATGGTTTTACTTGGACCTTGGGAGACGGCATCGACTAGTGCTCTTGATTTGTAATTCACGGTTTACGGTTTCTAAACTTGTTCTTGTCCCTGTGTTCTTGAACAAGACACTTTCCCCCAGATATTTTTCAGTTTACCTAGGTGTAAAATGGGTACTAAATAATAACTGGGATAGTTAACCTGCGATGGACTGGTATCCCGTCCAGGGAGAAATATATTACCTCTCTCGTCCGATCATGCCACCGGGACCAGAGTTAAGAAACGTTACGGGTTAACTGTTGTTGTTGACACTAGAGGCCTCTGACTTAGCAGCTTAACATAACATTGAAAGTTCCAATTTCCAATCGAAGGCAAATATATTTGGAAATCTAACGGCCTTTAAAAATTCAATTTTTCACATACAGAAAAAGTTCAATAAGCACAGAGTGCTAGTTTTTGTGTGTTTGTAACTTTTTGTCGTAGCTTGAAAAAGCAGCTAATTTCAGGTACGCTGAAGCATCTTTGAAACACAAAAGCACACATATGAAATTTATGTGGAAAACTCCAATGAAAGATGTTAGTGAAAGCTAAACTTTCGGAATTTTAATTTTATTCGGAGCTCGATTAATCTTCTTTTTAATTTCTTACAAGTATTCTAATTAATTTTGAATTGTTTTGAGAATAAAATAGTCATCTTGGATCCATTTACTTAGATCATGCAACTTCACACTAAATTATTATTAATTCTAAGTTAAGCTTGCATTTGTTTGGCCTGATCCCATAGTATCGAGCAGATACGTTATATTTAGTAAGTTTGTTTGTAGTTGAAGCACAAAGCTACACATTGGGCTCTCTGTGATCTGCCCACCACGGATATCGGAACCTGGTATCTAACGTTGTAAATCCGCAGACATGCCGCTGTGCCACTGGGGGACGTATAGTAAGTAAATGGAGCAATAGCGCCAGGCCCTATTACAGTTAAGTATAACACTTGACTTCACTGCCCTAAAAAGAAAATACATTATTAAATAAAATTTAATCGTATTTCATTTAAAAGATAGATGCGTCTGCTTTATTTAGTTAAACTTTTACATATTTTTGCTCTCATTGTTAGCACTATTCTTAATTTCTTGTTTGTTTGTTTTTGAATTTCGCGCAAAGCTACACAAGGGCTATCTGCTCTAGCCGTCCCTAATTTAGCAGTGTAAGACTAGAGAGAAGGCAGCTAGTCATCATCACTCACCGCCAACTCTTGGGCTACTCTTTTACCAACAAATAGTGGGGTTGACCGTCACACTATAACGTCCCCATGGCTGAAAGGGCGAGCATGTTTGGTGGGACGGGGATTCGAACCCGCGATCGCGAGTCGAGCGCCCTAACCATCTGACCATGCTGGGCCCTTAATTTCTTACAAATATTATAATTAATTTAAAGTTACTTTCAGAATGCAATAGTTAACGTGGATCAGTTTGCGCAATTATACACCAGATGGTTGATACTAGAATGGGCTTGCGTTTGTTTGTTCTGTTGCTATGGTGTCGAGCATAGATTAGCAGGCTTGATCTCCACTGCTTTATGTTGAAAGCCCAATTCATTTTTATTTTCATTGGTAACTTGGTGTGAACATTTATACATAATAAAAATAAACAATTAAATACTGTAAAAAATTAATAACTGAATAACACAAACAATTAGCAACATGTTGCTGTGATCCAACTACCCTCTTGTGGTCGGTAATTCGAAATTATCGAAGCTAGGGTACTGAAATAGTTCATGCTATATTTCATGAAGAAAAAAATATAAGACTTGCTGTACAACTTCTCCTGATATTACCACAAGTGGACACGACATATTATAATGAAAAGAATCGTGCCAAGGGAAACCGAGATCATTTTGCGTTTATTAAACTATTCTTGAAATTCCGAATAGACGATACAAGACAGCCTACTCTAGTGATAAACAAATAAATCATAATTGTAACACTTCTAGATATTAATTCGTTGTAAGATAAAAAAAGAAACGAATTTCAGTATTATTGAAATTTTAGTTATAGATATATTAATTAAGTGATATCTCTCCGAAGACCATATCATAAATAGATTGTATGCACATTTTCCTAACGTAGAAAACATTCCGATAAGATTAGGTAAAAGCCTTCAAAGAAAGTGTAACAAGAGTGACTGAAAACAAAATGGCTTCTTGTATATCACTTCGATCAATGTTCTCAAAGTAGGATTATTTTCCTGTTAATGTAAGGATAATGTGACAAAGTGCGAATGTCTCAGCTAGGGCTTTTATTAAAGTACTTCGATAATGATAATAATAATATAAACTACGAGTTAAATTTTAACGTTTTTTTTTTTTTTACTTTCAAGACCCTATACACAAAGTGTTTTTATTCAAACATTTAAAATAACAAGATCGTGCTTTCCTTACTGTCCATTTTGTCAGGAAGACGCTGCAGTACAAGGACAGTCCTGGCATTTTATGAAAATCCCATGTTACAGAATCAGCCCTAAAAATAAATATATTATATATATATACATTACAATACAATCGTAGTTCTTGAGTTAATAAAGTGAAATAAGAAAATCATGAAGAACCATTGTTGTCTCTGAGCGTCAAACTAAAAATTGAAAATAAATTCAGTAATTTGCATTTTCGGGCTAACTTAAGATGTTTATCACCATAAGCTCCCAATATAATCCACGAACTCTCCATCAGGAAAAAGCTTTAAATTCAAATTGTTTACATTTTAATCATACTTTATTATCAAAGTTGGTATTCTTATTTTTATTTTTTATACACTCTACAGACGTTTGCATAAATAGAAAGCCTAGTTTTGTTGTTGCACAACCAAAAATTATGTTACAAATAGGCTTAAAATTTGATACAAAAAAAAACTTTTTTTTTTCCAGACTTCTCTTACTTTTTTATCCATTGCAGATTCAAAATCAGAGGTGTATAAAAACAACATATCAAATCTATCTTTTGTCTCCCACAAGTCACTGCCCAAGAGGCCTTTCGAACTCATCAGTTGAACTGGGCAATGAAGATAAAATATTCTCGGGAACGCTGTTTATATATGCAGTATAATACTCTAACTTATTGTTTTCCAAAGTGTGGTATGCGTGCCTCTGGTGGTACACGAGATGATTTTAGGTGGTATGCGGACGACTTTTTTATTTTAATAGTTATATATTTATTTTATTGTGTATTAGAAAAAAAAGTCTAAGAAAAAATAAATTTTAACGCGGTTATTACATTATCTGTCGACAATTAAACATTGGCTATTATTCAGAGGGCGAGCGCGTCATCTAGTCCTCCTAATTGGCTAGCCGCTATTCAGAGAGCATGCGCAATGACATACCAAGAACCATGTTCGTTAGTTAGTGTTAGACGAAGATTCTTATTTTATGATTGTTGGTCTACACTCTGTTTTTTGTTTTTTTTAACCCATCATGGATCATTGGTTAAAAACGGGATTTTTAAATTTAAAGCGTAAAGGTAAAGACTGTGATGGAAATGCGTGTACAAAAATGCGAAAAAGTGGTGATAGCTATGAGGTGGTCAACATTTCTTTACTGCTGACTGATAATGATAGTAAACAGTTTCATTCTTCTCATGCATTTTTTAAACCGATTAATATTTATTATTACTTGTAGCATGAATTCTGAAGTTATTTTCACTTTCTTATAACAATGTCATTTTAAGATGAGAGAAATACTGTTTTGAAATAAATATTATGGTAAGTGATCCTGTTTTCCATTTATCCTAGTGTTATGAAATTTCCTTTTAAAACAAATGTATTTAAATAAAAAAGTGAGTCGATTTAAAGAAAAATATTAAGTAAAACGTAAATAATAGTACAGGTGGTACGGAGATATGGTAAAAATCGTGAAGGTGGTACGCGAATAACTGAAGTTTGGGAAGCACTGCTCTAAATGTTCGGTTTAAATGCCGAAAGCTGGCGAAGCATTAGAAACCAGTAAGTCGAAAATGTGTGTTAAAAATCATGTTAATTGGAGATCGTTTTTTGTTTTTTCATTTGTCTATTGCGGATCCAAAATCAGAGATGTATAAAAATATAATTTTAAATCTATATTTTTCTTCCTATTGCCCCTTCTCTTACATTTCAATGTCCCCTAGTGATTCAGTGGTAAAACTGAGGGCTTATAACGTTAAAATTAAAGTTTGATCCCCATGGCGGACACTGCGCAAACAACATATTGTGTAGCCTTGCGATTAAACAAACATACTATATACTTCAGAATAGGCAGAAACTGAAATAAAATCTTTAGTAACTTTATCAATGGATTTCCCCAGGTTAGGCGCTTAACACCATAGCATATAATTTTTTGGACCCGCAAAGTACTTAGTATTTTCAACTTAAACAGCAGACTAAACAGCCATCAGAAACACCAGTCAGCCTATGCAGTTACTTTTAATCGATTAATCGAATACTGGAATTCGTTGTCACAAGTATAGCGCCACAACACCTAAAAAACCTCAGTTTCTTCAGTGACACAACGCAGTTCACTCGAATCTTCTAAATTTCAATGCGGCACGCTAATTGTTAGGCCACGCCCAATTTTATAATAGACAAATTGCATTTCAAATGGACTTTTGACTCCAGCGAATGATGAGTTTGTTATTGGACGAAAAACCTCCTGAGAAGTGATTTGTAGCAGACAAACGAAAAATCTAATCATAACTCTATAACGGATAGAATAATAGAAACGTGATGATAAAATTCTGCAGTCAAACATCATTTTCATTAAATCTCTTAAGCCTAATAAGCCCAAGTTTTTTCAGTTTAGGCGTTGTATAATATTTTATCATACAAATATATCTACAAATCAAGCGAAAAGGTTGTCCTAGGTTCCAAATATAAATTATTTAAAAGAACAACCCAAGGTATTATACATGGGTCCTGAAATTTATATTCATTAGTTTTAAAAAATTTGGAAGCATCACTTGAAAAAATTTTAAGTAACGTTAAGTGAGGCTAGATTGTGCGTAGGATCAATGTTAGCAAAAAAAAAAAAACAGTAAATTACCATCAGAATTTAACAGTAATGCTAATCACGTATAACCACTAAATCACCTGAAAACGTGTTGGTGATATACAGACATCGAACACACTAATTATATTTAAATACAGCTACTAACTATCATAACTGACACCTGTGGAACGTAGTAATACCTGTTGACGCCGTCCATAAGGTGTCGATGAGAACGTGACAAGAGAACAGTTCCACCCCAAGCGGCCTAAAATGTAAGTACAGAACATAAAGTCTATACATGTTTGTATGGTACACCAAATGATATCTGTATATATATATATATATATATATATATATATATTGTTATCAGTATCACAAACAGTCAGAACAAGTACACATACATTTTAGGTGAACGTGTAGGTTTTTCAGAGGATTTTACCAGACAAACTTATTTATAAATTAGCGACCTTATTCTCCGAACTATTACACTACACCAGTATAACGTCTGGAGAAAAGGAGATTTGCAAAAGAGGATCTGAACGGGGCATGGATGATTAACACAGCTTAAATGTTAATAATGAGAAAGGCAACATGTGCACATAAGACATGAGCTTACTAAGAATCTGTTTTCTAAGAGTAATCGATCATGAAATATGTTTGATATCTAGAATATAATATATACTCTTATGGTCTGAAATTTAAGAGCATGAAATCAGTATAACTAAAAAAAAAGACAGACATGGTGTAAAATTCGGACTTAAACAATGTGTATTTATCATAATTTCTCTTAGATCCTGATCACACTTCAACCATATTTGAAATAACACCCAGGAAAAAAAACAAAAAAAACTTACGTCAACATGGAACCAGAGGTCGTGTTTTTGACAAATATCTGCGATTTGATGGAGGGGGTCGAAAGAACCTAATACAGTCGATCCGGCAGTAGCACACACATAAAACGGCAATTTTCCCTAACAAATATTTATAAATAATGAAATGTGAGGTAATAATTCGGCATAGTGGTTATGTGAAATAAAAATAAAAACTTGCCTAACTTTAGGGTTAAGTAGAGTGTTGAACATTGTGGTGGTATATAAACATTTTGTGTGTTTTATACTTCTTTGTATTAATATGTGAATTTGTAAAAAATTGTTATATGTGAAGTTCCTTTGGCTCTAACTACCTGTTGGTCCGTGTCATTCACCTTTTACTTTAGCTACCTAATATTCTGTCATTTATCTTTTGCTCTAGCTACCTAATGTTCTGTATTGTTTACCTTTTGGTCTAGCTACCTAATGTTCTGTGTTGTTTACCTTTTGCTCTAGCTACCTAATGTTGTGT